TGAGTTTACTTAAGAAAAAAGTTGGAAAAAAGGGACTTATCTCGATCGATCCTCCAGAGGTAGCGTCGGACGGCCAATTGAAGATGTACCCAGCCCTGGTTTTGGACCAACGAGTGATTACAAGACAGAATAGAGCAGTCATTCAATTGCTCATTCAGTGGACGAATATGGGACCAACAGAAGCAACTTGGGAGGATTATACAGTTTTGCGACAAAAATTTCCTTAATTCGATCCTTGGGGACAAGAATCTTCTGGAGAATGGGGTATTGTTATGATGACAGGGAAGTTAGGGTTTGATCGTAGTGATTTGGGGGAATTTTCAAAGAGAAGATTGGGAGGCAACAACAGAAATTGGGGGGAGAATCGAGTAAAATTAGGGATTGGAAAGGGGGCTAGGGATTGAGGTTATCTCTGAAGAATTGGGAATCGAAGTTAGGAGAAGGGAGGCAACTAAGGTATATACGGGGAGTTAGTGGGTATTATGATAACTCAATTTATTTTACTGTTGGGCTTATATTTTGGGCCTAAGTCTGTTAGAACAGTATTAGGAGAGATGTTGGTTGGTGAGTCAGCATGCAGTTATTTTGTTAGAGATGTTATTTGACAGCTGGTACAGTACATATATAATTTTATACCAATCCTTAGGGATTCTTATCTTATGAATGAAAGCACATTTCTGTATTTAAGTCTCTCTATTTCTGAAATCCCTAAATTCTTCTAATTTCTCATCCTAAATCATAACAAAATGGCCGGCGTAAAGTTAAAATTTTACTTGACTGTGGCTTGAATTATCAAGAACCGCCATCATCTTCAAGAGTTTTTCCCTCAACACACTGCAGGTGTTTCTTCCTCGGTCTTCATCCTCAGATTTTTTATGAGGAAGTTCACACTTCACACATAATTTAGAAGTGTAGGTGGGTTGAGTTAGCATGGAATATCAAAACTTGTAAAAGATACGAAAAAGGGTGGAAAAAAATAAGATGAAAAAAACAGCAGCAGATTGAACCTTAATTAGATTTACAAGTGATGCAGCTACCCAAGTTGTGGTTGTTGGACTGATATACGGGATGCTTCTCTGAACTACTAGCTAATTTGCAAAATAAGTTTGTATTATTACTTCTCAAATAGATTCCATCATTGTGTACCACAGTTCCTCTTGGAACAGGAAATGTTGCTGAGCTGATTTTGCCTGAATATTTAAAATGATGTAACCGTGAACTTCTAACGATATCACAAGAATCAACAGTGCTGTTGAACAAAGGGCCATTGCACTGATATAGTTTATCTTCTGGCTACAGCCATGTTGTAAAACAGAAAACTGAAAATATAGTTATATCAGTTAATAACTGAGGCAATTAATTGAGATAAAACAACAATGTGAAATATGACAAACAGATAGTTTATCTTCTTCCATTAAGGATCTCTTGATACAAATTCTGAACTCAAATGCTCAGTGTTGGCATTTGGCAAACAGAATAATGCATAGGCTATTTTTCCCAAAAAAAATATTGAATTTTAACCTCAATATATCCACCATTTTATTACTTGTTCCCCAAATGTAAATAAATGCCTATAGTCTAATATGAATTTAATGTGTCTCTTTAAAAAGTGTTTGGAGCATAAGAACAAGAGGAAGCATAATAACAGTACACAAAAACTAGCAGTGATCAATCTTGAGCAAAAATGCAGCCAATTCTATCTAAGATATAGTGAAAAAATAGGGATTTGAAACCTGCTCCACTACTAAATTATTAGAAATTCAACTTTCTTCTAGAAAGAAGAAAAACAAAATCCAAATTAACAAAGCAATCCACTCTGATTACCCATATAATCTCATTTCCAACATACATATAGAGGAAATGAAGGATTGCGACTCCCTCCCTGATTCTCAGGCCCTACTCGGTGTGCTAGAAGCAGCCCGCTGATAGAAAACCAAGTTATCAACACGTCACTGCCTACAACTACAATTTTTAACTAATAGTAATACTGAGGAAAAGGTTCAGTTAATGAGTTAAACATTTCGGTAGGAGTTGCCTACAACAATTTTTATCACCACAATTACAGAACACGACTTCGCTTTATCTTAAACCACAGAGTCTCTAAGAATATGATTCATAGTGCGTTATCTAAAACCACAGAAATTCATCACCAGAAGATAATGAAGGAAAATTTCATCACTGAAAGGCCTTAACTGAAAGGGAAAATGAACGTTAAAATTAAGGAGGAGGATTTACCGGTCTTGCATTCGCGATAGAATCTCTGACGCTCTCAATGGTTTCTAAGGCAGAGCCAGAGGAGTCCGAGATCGTCCAAGTCAGCTCACTTGCAGAAGCCTGATGACCGGAAACGTAATATCCTACCGGAGATTATTTTCCCCTTTTTTATAATTTAATTTGATTTTGCTTTCAAATCGAGAGAAAGAGAGGGAGATTTCAGATTTGTGGTGGTGTTCGGCCAATAAAAGGGCTCCAAATGACGACGCCTTTACACGTGGCAAAACGTTAGATTGGCGCCAAGTCAGTGAGAATATCTTCGGCCAATATCAATCAGATATTTAATTTTCCACGGAGCCTTAATTCAAGTTAACCGTCAGTCAAATATTATTTTATTTTTAGGTAAATTACAAATTTTTCCACTTGACTTTCTTCTCACTCTAGTCTTCTGTTGCTCACTTGAATTTATTTTTTTTAATTTAACTATTAAATTTTTAAATTATTTTTATTTTGATCATATTCTCATTAGATATTTAAAAACATTATGACATCACATACAAAATCATAATGAAATTGTTTTGAAAAAGTTAAATTTACACTAATTTGACATCATTTTATATATATATATATATATATAACTGATCCCCTTATTTTCTTCATTTTCCCATTATTTCTCTTTTCTCTCTTTTTTTCTCTCCGTCTATCTAGATTTTAGTTATTTTTCATTGTGTGGGTCATTGCTGATCATAATCAACGACATTCGACGAGTCTCAAATTTTATCATCAAATTTATTTTGTCCTTCTAATGTGAAATGGATGTTCGTGTAACTATAAAACACTCCAAATTTCACCAATCCAACATTAAACGTTCTAATTTCTTATTCTTCAATCCATGTCGCTTACCGTTAGATCGTGTTGATTTTGAAATATATACTTTTTTATTGTATCCTTCGCCCACTTATTATTGGGATCGTCTAACAAACCATTGTTGAGATGGTTTCAAGCTCATCCTCTTCCGTCGTATTCATTAAATCATTCGCTTCAAATACTAATTTATCGTACTTTTCACCATTGTTAACAGCCATAGTTAGAATGAAAAATTATTAAGAGTTTCCCACAAGATTTATTCTTTGAACATTTTGGTTGATTTTTTTTTTAATTAGACCAAATTGTTTTTGAGTTTTTTTCCAGGTATGTGGTGTTTTAACATATGTATTGTATGGAGAGAGAATAAGTGATGTTGAGGGTAAAGTTTGGTGATTAAATTAAAATCTTTTAAGTTTTAATGATGAAAATAGGAGTAAAAAGAAAATTTAGTAATGAAATTTACAATTTACCCTTTTTTACTTAAAAAATTTAAAATTACATCTAAGATGAAATTAAAAGGAATACTAATTTCTCTAGAGGTCTTGGGTTCGAGCAATTGTATCTGCAAGTATTGTTCGTAATCAATAGCTAAGAAATTTTTTTAATAGATATTACTTTATAATCACCTTAAAATATTTATAAAAAATACTCTAACTAAATTTGAGGTTGTTATGATAATCGAAAATACAATTACAAGTAAAATATATAGAATTGAAAATAAAAATACAATGATTATGTAAAAATCCTAAAATAATAAATACAGATAAAAATCATTATAATATCAAAATAAAAAGGATTTGGGACCATAAAACCTCACACATATCCTATAATTTCATCTTGCTATAATTCTAATTACTATATTTATAAGATTAATTAATAATAACAAAAGAAATATAATCTTCTACGAACTTAATGTGCAACCAAATCTGTACTGCGGACAAAACCCTCCCACTCTCGATCAAGATTTATAATGGGCTTTGGCTCTCAGGCCTTTGCATCTACGTGCAATTTTCTTTGAACTAGTGATATTACAAATTTGTCTAATCTTATCAGAAAGACAAACATTTTTAAAGAATGACATCAATGCATATCAAGTGAAACATTATTTTTTTTACTGAAAATGTTAATATTGGTCGTTATTTAAAATATTATTTTTTTACAGGAAATGTTAATATTGGGTTCTACCAGAAATCAATTAGTGAAATTAACATTTCCGATAAAAATAATATTTTATGTAACGCTTTATCGAAAATATTAAAAAAATATTAACATTTACGGTAACGTTTTTCTTTACTCATATTAAAACTAGCGTACAATATAACTAATGTGTGTGCACAATAGAACTACTGTGTGTGCAACGGAGAGAAGAAATTGTAGTGAATGCTCATTTCATCCTATATTATCGATTTTTAAAAATATTATTGTACTCAAATTTAATATATCTACTATATAAAAATTTTAAAACCCGAATCATGGAATAATTTTCCTTAAAATTACAGATATATAAATATATTATATGTATACTAAATAACTATATTTGTTTCACATGAACCAAACGACTACAATTATTAAAAGGATAATTATTATTTTTAGAGGTCTCGAGTTCGAACATCAATAATTATAATTGTATTTTACTGATCATTGAATAACTGAAAACATTTAAAATATATACTATTACTTGTAATCACCTTAGATTAATAAAAAAACCCTATATTTGTTTTAATTATGTTCATATATTAATGAAAAGTACTTAATTTATAATATTAAATTGAAATTCAATATTAAAATGTAAAATAAATTAATGCGAAGTACTTAATCACATAATAATATAAATTTAAATATATTTAAACACGAAATCACGAAATCTTGAAACTGAGAAACCAATCAAACAATTTTTTTTATATATTCAGAAATGATAACGCAATGCTATCCGAAACCAAAAGCAACAATCAAAATTTATATTACAAAAATGTAAAATTGAAGTTCAGAAATCATAAGTTAAATCAAACGAAATTAATCTCATCAAATTTCGTTATCATTTTCTTTTTACAGAAAGAAAAAGAACCTGCAGAAATCAATTTGGATTCCCAGAAAATTGCTGCACCGAGCAAGCCACCACCTGCGCCCATTGTCGCAACCTGATCTTAACCGTCTCAGGATCATCGCCTATTTAAAAAAAAATCAATTAAAACAATTAAAAATACAACGAATTAAATTTAATAAGGAAAATTTTTTGATACTAAAACTTGCCTTGATCGATTATGTTGCCGGCGTCACTGCAAGACCCTATCGGAGATGCAGACGAAGTCCTCAGCAGTCTACAGCTATATTGACGATTGACGGCGCAGTAAAACGGCAAAGCGGGTAAAGTATCGGATAGCTTCGGATCCAGTTCAGGCGAGTCCGTTTCGAAACCGAAACCTAACTCGATACAGCCTTTAAGCTCCTCCAAATCGTCGTTCGAGAAGCTCTGAGACCGGCGGAGGCCATCGCCGTAGCTTTCCTTCCGCCTCAACCATGCCTCGTCTCGCTCCACGTCGGGAGACCACGAACGCTGCTTGTACAGAGGCCGCGGTTGTTGTTTAGAAGGTGGCGGAGGTGGAGGCCGATAACGTCTCCGCATCGAGTTCAGAGCCGTCGCAAGACGGTGTTTTCACGGGGGGTAAGGTTTCCCGAGGTCGGTGAGAGCAAGGAAGCAGATTTTGGTACGTTTCTTTTAAAGAGTGACTACGCGTCTCAAAATGTATGTATATCTATATATATGGTAATACAGATATTGTTTGGTTAACGTATACTAGGATGAAGTACACAAAAATGAGTCAAGAAATAATAAATGCCAAAACGGAAAGGTACGGATAATTAAAGGACTAAATCATGTAATAAGCCTAAAAGATTTGGGGTTTAGAGACTACGGGGATCCTTTTTGAAATTATATTACTTTCTATGGGGGCGTTATGTTTGCAAAATCATTAAATTTGTTGAGGTAGGTGGGTCAACGTGGGTCCACTCATCATTTATGACCACATGGGTAAAGCTGTCAATAAATACGTGTGGAAGGGTTTTTATTTCATTTCATTAGGTATTTATATGATTTGTATCAGTTTGGTATTTGAATTTAATATATTTAAATATTTAAATTTAACACGTAATATTTCTCATTTAATTATTTTCAACAATTATTAAGATTATAAAATGCGGTAAAAATTATAAAAAATTAATTGAATATATCTAATATCATGGTTATATTTAAGTATTTAATAATATTTTTTGCCCTTAGATTTTTTTAAAAAAAAATAATCCTTAAAGTTTTTTTTTATTTCTTCTGATCTTGAATTTTTATTTTTATTTATCAAATTAAATCAATTAATAATTGACATTTTTATAGTTTTTTAAAATTATAAAATTTATATTTTAATAATTATTTCACAATTTTGAATCGAATTTCTGTTGGCTGTTGCTGATGTTTTCTTTCTGAAGCTGGCAATTAGAAAGACTTGAGAGGACTCATAAAGTCAACTGTGAATGATTCCTTTTTCCTGTTTCCATGTTGGCTTGATGCATAGTGCAGGTAAGCACATTGACCCTTTGACACTATTTCCAAGCTGGCACCTTCTCAGTGGCCGAACTATCTCGATCGAATACGACATAAAAAGATAACACGAACACGATACGAACATAACATATATTGCTATCGACATAAAAAGATAACACGAACACGATACGAACATAACATATATTGCTATCGACGGACGAAGTCACGAAGACGATCATCCCTTCTAAAAATTTTAAATTTCATATCTTTTAAATATTTTATATTAAAAATTTATTTTCACTCCTTAATATAAAACCTCATGTTCCCAAATTGATGCATCGAATCCATTACTACCCCTTCCAATCTCCTATCATTCACAACATCTAATGTCTCTGCAGCATTGCCATTTTAACAATATACAAAAATCATTGCATTCCAACAACTTTTATCTCGTACCGACATTTCATCGAATAATTTACGAGCATAGCCAAAAGCTTTGAATAAGAACATGTTACATTTCTAGTAATGTATTAAAGATATTGCATTCCAACAACTTTTATTTACGTTCTAGTTACACTTTCTTGATCGTGATCAGTGGGATCTATATGCTTATTTTCTTCTCCTATTAACAGTTTGTTAAATATATTGCTTAGGGGATGTTGAGTTCTTCCATGATATATTCATGTTTGTTCTGCAGGTTTCGGAATACCTTAACAGGTGGAATGTATAGGCCAGATGCAGAGGGATAAGGCGACAGATATGACTATGACTTATGGAAACAGGAATTATGATGATCAGAATGGTCATGGTTATAGGCAGATATGAGGATTCAAACAATTGTGATGAAGATCGTTATGACAGAGATAATGAAGACCGCTACATCAGATATGGTTACAGGGATGATGACTATTAAAGTATAAGTACAAGTGATGATGATTATCAATAGGCACAAGATCTAGGAGTTTTGACAGAGACCGTGCTTTTGACGAGGATGGTGCTTCTTCTTGGTATGCACAAGATTATGATATGTAGTAAAAACTATACATAATTAGCTATTACGATCAGACATGGCATGAAAAATTAACATGAAAACGAACATGAGACGAACAAACGACATGTCTCGTAATCACGTTTCCATGTATTATACAATTAAGCCCAAAGAAGGGCACCCCAGACTGATGCATCGGGCTTTACTAGCGGGACTAATCCCAGTAAACTGCATGTTGTAGAATAAAGCTAGTTGTAGCTTTCTTGGATCTGGGTGTGAGAGAGAAACTACACGACAGAAAATGTTTTCTTTTGGCTTTATCCACGTTATCTCCAAAATTTGGATGGATTTGCAGGATAATCTGTTTGTTTACGTGTATGATTGTATATTTTCTATCATAATCATCTCATCTACTTCAGTTGATGGATTTACAGGGTGATTTTGTCCATCATGTGCAGCTGCAAGTGCAACAACCCCGTTCTCATCGAATTTTATGCTAGCCAGTGCGGTCACTGCATGATGATCCTCCGTATTATCGATGAGATTGAAGGAGAGTATGCCGATGACCGGTAAACTCGCCTTCGAGTTGCTTGTGTTAGGTGTTTGATGCTGCTGGCGTGGGTAAGTCCCAGTTTACTGTATCTTGAATGCCTACAGAATTAGAGGACTAAATTTTCAATTTTTTTAAATATGTGGATCACAATTGAAGTACAAGGACTAACCACTCGATATTGATTGAAATTTATGATCGACTATTATAAATAAAATGTTTATTTCAATTTTTTTAATAAAAGTAAACATGATTATTAGTGATCAAATTTTGAACCGATGTCGATAGAAGGTACGAACGGATGCGCTTGGCCTTCTAGGAATTAAGTGCATACTCATTATTTTGTATAAGCTGTTAAATATAGTTCAATATATTAATGAACTAAAAAAATAGTTTAGCTATTAGGTAAAATTTGTTACAAAGATGAAAAGTTTAATTTGTTAGTGAAAAAATATATTGTAAAATTAATCTGATAAAATGTGTATTCAAGTAATTTTAAGGATGCTTATGAATCGGTTTTTCACTTGTACTTGAATGTAGCACTTCTTCATTCGTCTTTTGACTTGACTCGAGTTTAAGAAGATTCTATATAACCCGAAACCAAACCTGATTTTTAGGTACAAAAAAACACTCATATCACGCTGTCCACAAGCACAAATGTTCTCATTTTTATTAAGTAAAATAAGGAATTAATTAAAAATACAAAGAGGTGATATTACAGTAATTGTCTTTAAATATATAAAGATTAATTATTCTATTACTTTTTAAGACATGTCATATAGAATATTTTTCATCTTAAACTCAAACATGTTATTATCATTCAAAAAACTCGACTCAACATGAATATAAATTTCAAAAACTCTATTCCATCGAGTCAAATTCAAGTATGATACTCATCAATCTTATACTCTCTCGATCTAAATAAATCAAACAATGTGATGTAACATTCAAGGTTATATTTCGATAATTTTCTCTAAAAATAATCTTATATCTCATGAATCAAACGTATCTAAAAGTTTATAATCATAAAATGGAGTTAAAATCCTTTAGTTTCATGATTTTTATAATTAAAAAATTAACTCTTTTTTTTTACCTAAACTAATTGATTGGTCCGGAGATTAAATTCTCTGAACCGAATGCACGTGGTAGTTACCAATCCATTCAATGCTTTTATATAGGTAGCTGATTCAAACTACCATTTTTCACTACAGTTTATTTTTTGGTCTAATTAGGAATTTAACTCACTATTTTACAGAAATTAAGGAATTGGTCTCTCTATTTTACTTTGTTACTATTTAATCTTTGAACTTTTACAAAAGTTCAAAGACTGATGATTTTCGCTAATTTTGCATATAAATTATTTGGATTGTTGATTTTTAAGTCATTAACAATAAAGTTTAACAATGTTACCTAATTAAAATAATTTGTTAGTTTTTATAAGTTAAGGATCAAATTCTACCATATAAAAAGGATTAAATTAGCATTTTTTAAAAGTACAAGGATGAAACCCATGATTAGAGACCACTTTACTTTTATGATTTAAATAACATTGATAATCATAATACATTTAGACAATAAATATATGATATTCTTAAGATTCAATCAACAATTATAATCACAAACAAATTAAGACCCGACCGACTATAAAGAAGGGTAAAGTACACAAATGATCCTCTAATTATAATATATTATTTTATTGAGTCGTTTAACTATTAAAAGTTATAAAATAATTCTATTATTATAGAGAGACTTTTTTGAGTTCATTGACTATTAAAAATTACAAAACGATAATCGACTATTCATTAGGTTTTAAACTGATTCATTTATGTTAAGAAAATTACGATAATTTGAATATATTAACTAATATATGATAAAATATGATCTCATAATCGGTAGAGACATATTTGTATTCCAGGGTAACGGAACAGCTGTGTATTCTTACCAAACTACGGTGATAAAACTCAGTGTCCGGTCACCAATAAGTTATCAGTTACCCCATTTTCTTTTAACTTCATGGCCAATCCGGGAACTTTTTCCGACGAGCCATTGAGTCCCGGTGGCCGGCTTTTCATTCAACCAAAAACAGAAGTTATCGTCCACTGCATCGTCCGTACCAGAAATCCCATCGACGTAGATGCCGCAAAAGCGACCGTGAAGTCTTCCTTTATGGCACAGCACCCCAGATTTTGCAGCCTGCTGGTTCGTGACGAGAATGGTTTCGAGAGCTGGAGAAGAACCCGGCTAAACATCGACCAACACGTCATCGTCTTCAACAACCGGCTCGATAGATCAGGCAAGTTCATTGATGGAACTGAAACCCAAGGTCGTAGCTTCAACGAAGGAGATGATGACGAAGTGGCAGTGAATCAGTATGTAGCGGATTTATCAGTGAGCAGTCCACTGAGTACGGACAAACCCTTGTGGGAACTCCATCTTTTAACGGCGCACAAGTGCGCCGTGTTCAGGATTCATCATGCTTTAGGGGATGGGATCTCTTTGATGTCCATTTTGATGGCGAGTTGCAGGAAGGCAAGCGATGAGAATGCGCTCCCCATGATGCTTCCCGAGAAGACTAGAGAATCTAAGGGCGAGAAAAGAAAGGGCATGTTCTGGTTTCTCGGTGCCTTGTGGGAGTTCTCGAAGATAGCTTGGTTCACTTTGGTATTCGTAATGGAGTTTATACTGAGGGGTTTTCTTGTTTCTGACCGCAAAACGGTGATTTCCGGCGGCGATGGCGTCGAGCTCTGGCCTAGGAAAATGGTTACCGCTACGTTTTTGCTTGAGGACATGAAGGAGGTGAAGAAGGCAATTCCCAATGCTGTAAGTAACAAGCATCAATATAAACATATTCATACCTTTCTCTGATTATACAAAATTTGCAGACTATTAATGATGTCCTGTTCGGGGTGGTGTCATCCGGGCTATCAAGATACTTAGATCACCGATCGCCGAACGGTAAACTTGTTCATAAACTTTAATCAAACACATGACAGTATCAAGAACTGATTTTGAGTTCAATGTTTGTTGTTTAGCCATGGATGAGGGCCGTCGTATGACAGGTGTAGCCATGGTTAATTTAAGATCAAAACCAGGTTTGCAGGAAATATCCAAACTAATGAAGGATAATTCAGAAGCACGATGGGGGAACAGATTTGGTGTAATTTTGTTACCTGTGTTCTATGATAAAGCTGGTAATGATCCTTTGAAGTATTTGAAGAGAGCAAAGACAATGGTTGATAGGAAGAAAAGTTCCCTGGAAGCTTATTTCTCGTACAGAATTGGTGATCTTTTAATGACCCTGCTAGGATCTAAGGTGTTGCTGAAACTCTGAAAGAATGATTTTGAAACATCAGAAAACAGTTTACCTCGAGATGTTTTTGCCTACTGATTGTGTGCGTGTGTGTTTTGTGTGTGGGTTTGCAGTATGCTTGTCTGCTTAATTACAGACTTCTATGCAATACCACCTTCACCATCTCAAACTTGATGGGCCCTCTAGAGGAAATCACACTTGCAGGCAACCCTATCTCTAGCATTAAGGTCACTACCTCAAGCCTACCACAGGTATAGCACCGTTCCATCTCGAACTGATATCTATGTTGTTCGGACTCTTCATATGTATCTATGTAGACGAGTTCTACTGTTGTTTATGCAGGCTATCACGATGCACATGTTGAGTTACGCTGGTAGAGCCGAGATGCAAATTCTTGTAGCTAAAGATATCATCCCTGACCCGGAGATTCTAGCTAAGTGCTTTGAAGATGCCTTGCTAGAAATGAAAATGGCAGCAATAGCAGGCCAATAAAGCGTAGAAAAAAGTTATAGATTAATGGTGTAGGAGAGATTCATGAACATTACATTTATCAAATGGAAATTCTTGTGAGAAGGAATTTGCAGTGAAATCATCTCAAAGAAAGAAAAATTATGATCAAAACTCACAAATGATATTTCTGGTTAAAGCTACCAACTCAAACTGTAGTTATCTGGTTTTTCAAATGCCCTCCAACACAGAAATATACATAGCCATATCAGGACAATACACAACTCTCTCTCTCTCTCTCTCATATCCCCACACTGAGTTTTTTGCAAAAAGGACAACAAGCTCAGTGTGGGGATACTATAAGCCTGCAAGTTCTTGAGATTATTGGAGTGGGGAAGGCTTGAACTTTCCGCTTCTTGAATTTTGGGAGGCTTGAGAACATCTGCTTTGCCACCATTTTCGGCTAGCATCCGGTCATGCAAGGAGAGGCGTTCGTTCACCCTTCTGTTGTTTATAGCAGCGGCGGAAGCACCACAGTTGGAGAAAATCTTTTCAAAGTGTACTGCATCTTGGGGTGCGACCAACACCTTGAATTGCTTACCTAGGTTCAGAATTGTTTCTTGGCACTCTGCCAACTTAACTGAAGCCGCTGTAATTTCCCAACCCTGCATGTTCAAAATGCAGACATAATATCAGTGTTTCATATAGTTTTTCCATTTTCAATTTTCATCTGTTGGTTCATGCGTTTAGAGAAGGTAAACACAGGTAAAACAAAACCACTATTCGAAACAGAAAATTACCAAAGACCAGATTAAATTTTAGTAAGTCGTGCGAAAAATAGGCTAACCAGAGAATGATTTACCTTCTGAGATAGCTTCCACTCTTGATTCATGGCATACTTCAGTGTTTCGTTCTTCGCCACACTGCGAGTTTATGTTTCGTAAATCAGAAACTACCAACAAATTTCCTTTAGAGTTCACAGGAATTAAAACTAAGAAGCAAAACTTTACCTCTCTAACTGGAGCTGAAGCTCTAGACATGTAGCTTCTAGCTCGTCACAAGAGCTATTTTTATACTCCAACCCAACTTCCTAAGATGAGCACTTTTGGAAGATTTCATTCAGTTTAGCTTTGGTAACAGTGAACTGGGTATCGAGATCTTCAAATTGTACCATCTGGGCCTCACTCTTGTTAGTTGCCGATTCCAGCCTGGTTTTCAAATCCTTCAAATCTTCTTTTAATCTCTTGTTTTCTTCCTACAAGCTACAAGAAATACCCTCCTTTTCAGGGATAACACTTGGCGAAGATGATTGTTCTTCAGAAATGTGTGACATCCGATTCTACTACTAAACAGTGGCTTGCAGAAGCAACTTCTTTTTCACCATGTGAATCATTCCAACCAAAATGCCTTTTGATCTTATCCCTTGCACTCGAAGCTTCCTGAGGAGTAACACTGAAGTTCACTATCCAATCCAAAGCAAATGAGAGTTCTTCAGCAAAAGTTTCGAGATCACCCCTTTGATCCAACAGATTATTACATGCACGAAGAGAACGTTGTTGAACGGTGCTTACCTCCGAAATTTTCCATTGAAAAACACGGACGAAGTAGTCAGCATGAATGGTGATTGTTTAGGACTTCGAAATTTTCTGTAGGCAAGTGTCGGAAGAATTGGAAGATGTTAGTCCAATTCCTTCAATCAGTTCAATGATTTTACCGATTGACTTGCTCAGATTAGGCTGAAACTGTTGGCTTTTTGTTTTTCCGGATGAGTTATCGACACTAGAAGCTCCACCGAGTGAATCTGTAGTCGGAGACATGTGCGGAGATTTCCAGCCTATGTAGCCACTAATATGGAGAGCATCAATTTCTATGGGATGTATTGAACATGCATTTTTGTTAACATCTGGGGTATTTAAAAGATTGCTACAACCCAAAGCAATTTTGATGTCCTCGAGAATTCGGACTAAACTTCGGTTCGAAATACGTTTTTGCTCGGAGATAGCCTGCAAAACAACCTGAAGCCAATCAAATGATCTTTCACCGGCTACATCTTTTGACTGCATCTGTCTTGTATTGCTGAAGCCACAGTGACCCTGCTCAAATGGAACCGACTCCTTAACATCTGATAAGGCTAATTTTTCCATCTCTACAAAACGTCCATTAATCTCATTTCTGGAACTGTAATGGCATTGTGTTCTGTTGAATTCCGAAGTCATTTATCTGACCGTGCAGATTTCGAAAACAAAGTATTAGCCCATGAACAAGAAGAGCTATTTCCATCGATACTGCCAATATCAAAACTGGATGTTATAGATAGTTCACTTGATAGTGGACTACTCCTTATTATCTCCATTGATTTATGTCCTTTAAACAGCTCCTTAGGCTGAATATCAAGTTCTGTTGTCGGCCTGGATGATGTTTAGAACACATTGAACTCAATGACTGGATTTGAGCATTCTTCTTGATCATTATTTCTCTGAGAGTCTTGTTTTCTTCTTCAACATTGCATAATTGCTCCAACAGGAGATTGGTACTCATCTCTGACTTGTCCTTCCCTGGCATTTCGACTTCATTCTTCATTTTTGCCACGGCAGCTGGACCAGGCAGCCTCTTTCGCAGAAGTAAGCGTAACTTCTGGCATTCAGCTTCCAACTTGGCGATTTCCTTTGAATCTTGCGAATGTTGTTTATGTGCCAAATCTGATGATCGACAGTTGTATCCCATTTCTTCATTTCTGATCTCGAGCTCTTTCTCGAGGACATGAAACTCATATTTCAGAAATGCATTCTCTTTCTCAGTGAGACCTAATCTATCCATCACAGCACCGAATTCTGCTTCCGATCGAGACTTGAGCTTCTGCTGATTTTCGATCAATTCTTCTTTGACTAGCAGGGCCTTACTCAGCCGAGAATTCTCGGTAGTCAACTCTTCAAGCCTCCTGTTTGTGTCTGTCAACATGTCTTGTAATGCTTTCTGTCATCTCGAATTCACTCGATGTCTTCGCAACAGCATCACGGATTCTTCGCTCCTACTCGTCTCGAATGAAATTTAGCTGTTGCGTACAATCCTTCAATGCAACTTCTAAGTGAGTCAACTTTTCATTTGCCAATTTTCCCTGCCTCGGAGCTTCATCTAGCTCTTTCTTCACAGTGATTGCATCTGCTTCAGCCATTTCACCACCTAAACGAAAGATCATATTTATTCTATCGTATTCGAAGAAATAAATCGGTCTTCCAATGATCCTATATGACATTTTAGGGGAAATGGAAGAGTAAGGATAGAAGTATGTCACCTGCGTTAGCTACTGGTGCCATTTTCACTAGTCTATCTCGTCCCCCCTCCATCGGAATAATCTGTTTGTAGTGAACAAACATGTAGAATTTCGATCCTCGGGTTATCGTCACAGGTCGAAAGCAAGGATCACAAACATCTCAAAACAAGAATCAAGAAACAAGAGGAGAATGGGGTTTTTTGGTGTTACCTCTTCATTAAGTCGTTTAGAAGAAATGTCGACGTTGTCGGTAGCAACAACAATCGTCTTCTCCGAACGTTTTTTCCTCCATAGCCATGTTTTGTGGTCCATGGTTCTAGTTTCTGTTTCAGAACGAAACAAGAAAGCTGAATTTACAGTGTGATCAACATAAAGAAGCAGCAAATAAAGCAAGCTGTTCAAAGATCAAACTGGCATCTTAACCCACATATATACATGCAAGCTAAAAACTTTAAAAATTCACAAAACAGAGAGGAGGATGAACAGATTAATGACTCCGTCAGTTCTCACCTATGTTTAGGCAGAGAATCAAGCTGTTTAACAACAGCTACAGGGAATTTAAATAGCGTTCGTGATGACGCTTTCGATCGTCTCGCGTTGATTGCGGTTGCAAATATAACGGATGCCATCGCGATCGCGACTGGTGTTGAGGTCGTGAAAAGGGAGAGTAATAAAGAGATGAACGGTGATAAAGGAGGAAACTAAAGGTGAAATATGTTCGCTTGATGATCAAAAGAAAGATAAACTAAAGTAGAAAGTGCCTTGAAAATGGAGTCGCTTTCATGCAGTGGGTTCTTGGATTTCCATGAAAGAGAAACAAGAAAGAAAGGTAGTGTCACACACACTCAGAGGAGCAGAAATCCACGCGCGGCGAAAGGAGATTGGGATGGTTTCTACGTAGTTAAAGTCGAAAAAATAAGAGTTATTTGCTGCGGTAGAGTTTTAAAAAAAATTATTTGTTGAAATAAATTCTAATTGAAATTATTTATTGAGATAAAGTAAAATCTATACTTTGAACATATGTCGTCAGACGCTCTTGACGATCAAGGAGGTCGTCATGTCGTCCTTGCAAATTGTGGTGAGTTGCTTCATTTCTTATATCAGTAATTAGACATCTCATCAGTTTGATCGTCGGGATCACATGGCGACCTATAAGGTCGCCCGACATGGCGACCTCCATTTCAACGTAGTTAAAAAACCTAAAGACCGATGTAGGTAATCGTTGTTACTTAGGGAAATTTAGGTAATCGCATGAAAACCTAATTACCGATGTAGGTAATCATTGTTACTTAGGAAAATTTAGGTAATCGCATGAAAGTCTAATTACCGATGTAGGTAATATTTGTTACTTAGCCCAGCGTGTATGACGACCTACCCCTCAGATGGTCTCGGTCGAATGCGCTCGGATGCCCTCGGTCGGATGGCCTTGGATGCTCTCGCATAACTCGCTCGGATGACCTCGGATGCCCAGCGTGTTGGGATGTGCATGGCACATGCAAAATATCTCGTAGCTCACCGGGAAGAAATGGTGACCTAATAGGTCGCCCGGATAGCATGGCGACCTACGGCCAACAATGTAGATTTCACCTTATTTGAACAATTAATCTGGGGAGTGCATTATCTTGTGAATTAATTTATTCGATAACATTATCTCCAAAGTTTTGTCAACAAATAATGATGGTGGGTAAGATTTTTATTTTTATTTAAATAAAAACGTAACAAAAAATTTAAATAATTTAATTTGATTTTTTATTAAACAAATATTGGTTAGAGTGGTAAGCATTTTCATAATTCTTAAGTAAAATATCGAGTTTGAGTGTTTGTGTATATAAAAAAAATTTGTTAAAAAAGTCAT